GCACTTGTGTTGAATAGCATGTCCTACGGTCGGACCGAGGTAGAAGATAGAGGTCGGTTCGGGGAGGGTACCCTAATGTTTGTCGTGCTCGGTGGATGTTCTTGTGCATCCTGGGGTCAGGTAGTCGCGAATGTTCCTCAATTTGGCCAGCGGCTGTCCGAACAACCGCGCGTGTCGTCCACCCCTGCGGCGCCGTTCCTCCAGTCGGGTCACGAGCCTGTCTGGGAGTCATCTTGGAATCGATCGAAGGTCGAAACTCGAGGTTTTGTCGATTAGCGAAGACCCAAGGGTTGTTCCATCGCACGATGCCGATCACCACTTTTTAATCCGGGGGGTGGTACGTAGGCTTGGCCGTATCCTTATGTGTCGGCCTCTTCCGCAGCGATGGATGATTGCACTACGTAAGCTGCTGCATCAGATGCACGGTGCCCTCTTGCGGGTGCTGGCAGACCACGCCGCGCAACAGGCGGCCCGCATTGGCCCCAGATTCGGCCTCAAAGCCCAAAGCAGACTGGCGAAGATTGACTACTCTCTCGATCTGGTAGGCATCTGATGGCCCCGCAGGTGAGAGCCCTGGCAAACAGACCGACAGGTAAGGCATCCGACGGCCACGCAGGTAGGGCATCTCATGGCTCAGGGGCAGCCTGACGGACCCCTGGCAAACCGGCCCTTCGGTCACGACCTCGCCGCCTCGCTCCGAGACGTGGGCGGGCGGCCGGAGCGGACGCCGAGGGTGCGGGGCGCGAGGGGCTCGCCACGGAAGGGGGCTCGCCGCGGAAGGTGTCGGCCAGGCCGCGCCTCATTGGCGAATGTTCGGAGAGCAATGAGCAATGAGCAATGTTCGGATGGCCGCGATCTGCTTCGTGCAAGAGCGCAGCTTCCGGAGGACCGCCCAGGCGGTCCACCCCCTGAGCGCGTGGACTGGCGGCTGCATCGCCAGAAGCGGTTCACCGAACGGGCGCCTGTCGTCGTGCCTGGTCTGGTGCATCCGGCGACGCTGACGGTGACCGCGGTCCTGGCGCTGCTTGACTAAGCACAGCTCCTAGCGCCGAGTTGGTGAAAGCACGGAAAACCAGATGCCGCGTTCAGACCTTCTTGTCGGGTGTTGCCAGAAGTGCCCCTGGCCCGCGGTGCCTCCAGGATTTCCAGGAAGGCCCCCATGACCTCCAGAGCACCCCCGACGAGACCCAGAGGGCCCCATGGGGCTCCAAAGTGGAGCGAAAAGCTTGGGGCACTAATGCCTGCCAAGCAAAGCCAAACAATGCCGAGCAATCGCAAGCAATGCAAACCAGTGCAAAGCATTGCCACGAAATGCCAAACGATTCGCACATGCAGTAGGAAACGTTCCCCTAATTGGGCCGCGCTGGGTTCGTCTAAGCCTTCCCCGAAGACACGGAAACTTCTCAGAAGGCTGGAGCCCTCGCCCTCGCTGGCCGCCAGCCGTCGAAATGGTGCGCTGAGCGCTGCCCGTGACGAGCATAGTAGAAAGCTGTCGAGAGCGGAATCCCTCGCCATGGCGGACTTCGACACCGAGAGTGGGAGGGAGCGCCCCGAGCGAGGGGCCTCCTGGGCGTTCTCGCCGCCGCTGCGCGCCGCCTGCTCTGCTCCCCACCTCCTTTTGTGTTCTTTCCCCCCTCGCCCTCTCGGGCTTGGCTCCTTGGCTCACTTGTCTTCCTCTTTGTTGTTGCCAGTCTCTCCTGGTGTGCTCGTCGTGTGTGTCGCTGTGGTCCCTCCGCTTCGCCGCCCGCCTGCCAAACATGGTCAGTCGAAGTTTCCTCGTTGACGCTGGACCTCCTCTCCGCAAGCCCGTCTCCTCCTCCTCCTCCTCCTCCTCCTCCTCCTCCTCCTCCTCCTCCTCCTCCTCCTCCTCCTTCTCTTCCTCCTCCTCATCATCAGTATCATCGTCAGCAGCAGCATCATCATCATCGTCATCAGCATCAGCATCCTCACCAGCAGCATCATCAGCATCATCAGCATCAGCAGTATCATCATCATCATCATCAGCAGCATCAGCATCATCATCATCATCATCAGCATCATCATCATCATCCTCATCCTCATCCTCATCCTCATCCGCCTCGCACCTGCCTGAGTGAGGATGCTGCCCGGGTGCGTTGGACGTGATTTTTGATGGTGGCCACGATACAGACAGAAGACGACGACAACGACGATCACGACAACAACGACGAAGACGACAAAGACGGCGGCGGCGGCGACGACGACGACGAAGACGACGAAGACGACAACGACGACGAAGACGACGACGGCGGCGGCGGCGGCGACGACAACGACGATGGTGCCTCTGTCTCGCGGTCGACACGAGCAGGCTCCCCCCCCGTCTTGCCCCCTCCCCCCACCCCACCCGTGCGGCTCCTCCTGCTCCTCCCCCTCGGGGTCCACCCGCCCGCGCTCTCCACCCCCTCGCAGCCCTTCTCCCCCACCCACCCCACCCTCTCATCCCCACCCCCCGTCCCCCCATCCCCCGGCCAGCCCGCAGAAGAGGCCTGCTGGACACCCTCCTGGAGCGCTTCCGGGACTTCCGCGAGGAGCGGCGCTCCCAGACGCACGCCCTCCTCCAGCCGCTCGAGGACTGTGACCCGCCGCTCCCCCAAACGACAACGACGACGACGACGACGACGACGACGACGACGACGACGACGACGACGACGACGACGACACGACGACGACGACGACGACGACGACGACGACGACGACGACGACGACGACGACGACGACGACGACGACGACGGCGCTGTGGAGACGGCGGCGACGGCGCTGTGGAGACGGCGGCGGCGGAGAGGGCGGAAAGGGAGGGGAGGGTCTGGAGGGCGGAGAGGGAGGCGGCGAAAGGGGGGAACGGGGAGCCAGAAGAAGGAGAGAGAACGGGAGGAGGAAGGTGGACGTGGAAGGGGTACAATGTTTCGCTGTCTCTTCGCGTGGCTCACCGCTGATCCCCAAGGTCTTGAGGGACAGGGGAAGGGAAGAGGAGGAGGAGGAGGAGGAGGAGGAGGAGGAGGAGGAGGAAGGGACGGGGAGAGGGGGGAGGAGGAGGAGGAGGAGGAGGAGGAGGGGAGGAGGAGGAGGAGG